ATCTTCTTGTTGTATTGATCCCTTTAGTATTATGAAGTGGCCTTCCTTATCTCTGGTTATGACCTTCAGTTTGGGGTCTATTTTGTCTGATATAAGTATTGCTACCCCAGCTTTCTTTTCCTTTCCATTTGCCTGGAAGATATTTTTCCATCCCTTCACTTTCAGTCTGTGTGAGTCCCTTTTAATGAGGTGGGTCTCTTGTAGACAGCAAATGTATGGGTCATGATTTTTTATCCATTCAGCCACTCGATGTCTTTTGGTTGGAGCATTTAGTCCGTTTACATTTAAAGTTATTATTGAAAGGTACTTGTTTGTAGCCATTTCTTTTTTTGTGTGTGGCTGTTTTCTTTCTTCTTTTTACACCAGTCCCTTTAGCATTTCTTGCATTGCTGGCTTGGTGGTGCTAAACTCCCTTAGACTTTTTTTGTCTGTGAAGCTTCTTATTTCCCCTTCAAATTTGAATGATAGCCTTGCTGGATAGAGTATTCTTGGATTCAGTCCTTTGCTTTGCATCACTTTGTAGATTTCCGTCCATTCTTTTCTGGCCTGATGTGTTTCTGTTGAGAAATCATTTGATAGTCTAATGGGAGATCCCTTGTATGTAACTTTCCGTCTCTCCCTTGCATCCTGTAAGATTCTCTCTTTGTCCTGAACACTTGCCATGGTAATTATGATGTGTCTTGGTGTGGGTCTTTTCGGGTTCACCTTGTTTGGGACTCTCTGTGCTTGTGTGACTTTTTTCTTCCCCACCTCAGGGAAGTTTTCTGATATTATTTCTTCGAATAGGTTTTCTAATCCTTGTTCCTCTTTCTGTTGTTCTGGCACCCCTATTATTCGTATGTTGTTTCACTTCATGTTGTCCCAAAGCTCCCTTAGGCTCTCCTCCTGTCTTTTAATTTTTTTCTCCAATTGCAGTACAGTTTGGGTGTGTTTTGCTTCCTTGTCTTCTAATTCACTAATTCGGTCCTCCGCTTCTCCTAGTCTACTGTTGATGCTTTCAATGGTGTTTTTTATTGTAGCTATATCGCTCTTCATTTCTTCTTGGGTCTTGCATAAGTTATTGATTTTTTCATCTGTTTCTTCTTGCTTCTTGCATAAGTAGTTGATTTTTTCCTCCATCCGGTTTATGCATGCTAGGACCCTTATTCTGAATTCTATTTCTGTCATGTTGCATGCCTCTGTCTCACTTAGCTGCTTTTCTGGCGAGTCCTCCTTTTCTTTCCTTTGAGGGTTTCTTTGCCTACCCATGTTTGATCTCATTGACATATGTAGATGTCGAGATGTTCAGTGGCTGCTCCCTGGGTGGCAGGGGCTCCTTGGGTTGTGGTTGCTGCTCAGACGGTTGCGGTAGCAGCTGCTTTCCAGTTGGCAGCAGCTCCTCTGGTGGGTGTTGTTCACAGCTGTGTTGGCTCTTCTGGCTGGTGGGGGGAGGCTTCACGTACAGCTGCTGTTCCACAGACAGAGGTTGTGGTGATCAGGAGGCTGTGGTGATCAGGAGGCTGCGGTGATCAGGGGGCTGCTGTTGCTTGGATCTGCTGCGTTGATTTAAAGGCACAAAATACAACAGAGCAAGGCACAAGGTACCAGGCACTGAACACAAGTATATTCACAATATTAATAACCCCAAATAAAGGTGACCACCCGAATTAAGAGAATTAGGGGATAAGGGAGAAAGAAGAGAAGAAGATAAAAGAGAGAACAGAAAAGAAAAATAAGAAAAAAACAAACAAAAAAGGAGTGCAAAAATAGAATTGGGAAAAAAAGAGGGGGGGGAAGAGAGCGAAAACAGAGAATGAAGTAGAAGCGGGGAAGAGATTATTTGTATGAGGAGCAAACTCCAATAGAACTGCCACTAATCTCAACAAATTCCAGCAACAGATCCCTGGAGATGAATGCAAACTACAAACCACCAGTAATATCAAGAGGGGTAAGGGAAAACAGAAGCACAAAAATAACCGGGGTGGGGTGGGGGAGGGAAGGGAAAAACCAGCAGAAAAAAAAAGAAAAAGAAAATGAAAAACAACCTCACAACCAGTCCTAAAAAAGAAGAAGAAAAAACACAAAACAAAACAAACAAACAAATAAAAAAAAAAACCAAGCCCAATATATTCAACAATCAAGAAAACAATAGAAAGATAAGAGAAAAAAAATGTTTGGAAAGTGAAGAAGGATAAAGAATAGGTGTATAAGGATTTAGAGCAGTAGATTGGAAATAGGATATATAAGTAGGGTGGAATTAGACAGAGGGTAAAAAGAAGGAATTGGGAAAATCTGAAGCAGGAATAGGGTAAGAGAAACAGGACACCAAAAGGGGAAAAGTAAGGAAGAGGGTTTTAGCAAAGAGGTGAAATTGAGATAGGGAAAATTAATGCTAAAGGAACAATGAAAATAGAATGGAGAACACTAATCCCAAAAGAAAATAAAGAGAAAATAAAATGGCACTTTAAAAAATGGTAAAATGGTAGCAGTAATAATACTGGTTAAAAATAAAAATGTGGTAATTGAAAGGGTAAAATCAGGTGATGGAAAAAGAAGAAAAAGGAAAAAAAAATTGGTTTCTTAGTAAAAAGGCGAAAAAATAAAAAAAAAAAGAAAAAGAAAAAATTTGCAGTAGTGATGGTCTTTCGGTTCTTCTACTCTTCAGCCTGGTTCGCCTTAGTCCTGCCAGGTATTTAGGAGAGTGTTGAATTTCCCTGCATTACACTGTTCCTCCGTGTTGTAAATCACAGTCCTGATTTTAAAGCAGGCCGTATTTGTGATCCAGTCTGCCTTAATTTGTATTCCCCTAAGAGTCAGTTTGTGGCTCAGCCTCTGGGTGGCAGTCTGATTTTTGTCTCACAATTTGTTTATGTGATTTATCATATTTATTGATTTGTGAATATTGTACCAGCTTTGCATCCCTGGAATAAATCCCACTTGGTCATGGTGTATGATCTTTCTAATGTAATGCTGGATCCAATTTGTTAGAATTTTGTTGAGAATTTTAACATCTATGTTCATCAGGGATTGTGGTCTGTAATTCTCTTTCTTTTTAGTGTCTTTATCTGGTTTTTGGATTAGGGTAACACTGGCTTCATAGAATGGGCTTGAAAGTGTGCCTTCCTCTTGAATATTTTGGAATAGTCTGAGAAGGATAGATTTTAGTTCTTGAATGTTGATAAAA